CTCCCCAACTCATCCCCGCTCTGTGACCTGCTCCTCCCCCCCTCCTGGCTGTAGCCCCCCATGGCATTCACCTCCTCCACCCTTCTGTTCTCCCTCCCTCCTCCCCCTCTTCTTCCCTGCCTCCACCTCTCCGTCCTCCTCTATCTCTCAATCCCCCCCTCCCTCCTCCATCTCCCCCCCCTCCCTCCTCCTCCCTCCTTCCCGTGTCATGCAGGAGTGATGGTGCCCCTAGGTACTGCATGGGCCGCACATCACCCTCTCCTCCAGCTGTTGTCACTAAGTACTATCTTTTAGTTTGACAGCCCTTTCTAACTGCATTCCTCATCCCCCCTTGCCAACCCCTACCTCCCCCACCACCTCTCTCTCCTCAGTCACCTGAGCCCAGGAGAGCTGCAAATCACAGCGGTTGCTTCTGTTGTTGTTGTTGTGGCAACCGGGGCTGTTGTGGACTCTGGAATGAGGTGAGAGGGTCTTCTTTCTTCACAGCCTTTTTCAACAATCGATAGTTTTATGGGAATACTTTAAAAAGGGGGGTCGTGGTGGCTAAGCGGTAAGGAAGGATAACTGTTCGTCACCTGACTCATAAACTACAAAATGTGGCAGGATAGTGTAGTCGGATAGGGTGTTCGACTCCGAGCTGAAAGGTCCTGGGTTTGAAACCCCAATGTCAGCAGTCTACCCGCCTTACCCCTACCTGCTCATTAATGACAACAATTCACTGCAAGTCACTTTGGATAATTACGTCTAAATGGCTAAATAGTAGTGAATAGTAAAATAATCTGCCATTGCAATTAAGAAACAATGCACTATTAAATTAAAGTTAATGATTCTAAACAGCTAGTTCTGAACATAATAAAGTGGGGTTAGTTAATAGACCGGTATATTTAGAGTCATTATCCAAAATGTTAACTCTATTTAGTCTATTTTTGTCATTTTAGCAGACACTTGCCTTCAGAAAGCAGGTAGGTGGTAGGGACGACTACAGGATTTGAACCAAAAACCTTTCAGATGGAAGTCCACTCTACCCACTAGACTATCCGGCCTCCGGATGCTGGAGTAGAATACGAAAGTGCCGTTTTCTGTTGATCCTAATTAATGAATTAAGCTCTGAGTCAGAACACGGCTATATTAGCCTATGCTAACGGCTAAGTAAACACAGACAGTTTGGTGCAGGTTACATCGACGAACAGTTGAATCATAGCAACGAACGCTACTTCAGATCCTAAAGTATCAGATCAGATTTCTTTACATTTATCTTTTGAAACCGAGCTTGAGGAAATTAAAGACGAGTAAAAAATACAAAAAAAAAAAAGTTCCTACTACGTCTAGGTCTGCTACCATGGCAACCCAGGAGACTAGGAAATGAGAGCCATGGTTTTGGCTCTGCTGGCCCCCGTGAATGGAAAGGTAGTAGAGACCGTCTGTTATCAGGCCTGCGGGAGATTGTGTTTAAAACATTTTTATGAATCCAATCAAAACAGTAAAAGGATTTATCAAAATGTAATTGCTTAACTTGGCATTGAATATGACTTTTCTTTCCTCATCTCTCCCGTGCCTTATAGGTCAACAAAATAAGACTACAGTAGAAATATGGAAATACATCCTAAATCTCCCCCGCTTTTTACTCTCACCACTGTTTTCCTCTCAAATGTGTGTTCACCATCACTTCTACTGCACAGAATTACTTTTTTATTGTTGACTGAACGAGACATGAGGCATGGTACTTGACATTCCTTTCTTTCTCATTTAATGTGAAATTTTGCTGACTGAGTGACATTGATATCAGTTAGCTTAGTTGTAGTTCACAAAAACCGGCCTGTCGGTTGCTTTGGCCAAAAACGCAATTACACAATGTGTATGGGATGTTGGATAGGAGCGACTTGCCATTGTGATAAACATGAACTGGTCATGGGAAACTAAAATAGTACAATGCCTGGTCAAGAATATCTGTTGTTTTACTGGGGATTTTTGTTGCAATTTTATGCAATGCTGTTGTCTGACAACAATTAGCTTAGTTTAGCGCACCACCCAACACGCTTACAACTGCGACAGAGGAATTTGCTTGTGCAATAGCCACAACTGCCTTTTTTTCCTCTCGGCGGTCAATAACCCTGAGTTTCTTTTTAAAGTGATGTTTTTTAAACCTATTTGACCCTAGGTTTTCATCCCTTGGAGTTATTTTTATCAAGATCAAGACCCTTTGATCCCTTTGTCCAATATTGGGCAAGCTCACAAACCAGGCTGCAGTGTAGTCAATGAATACAGTACAGTGGGGCAACTATTTGAGCTCATCTGAACTTAAAGGGGAACCGTCAAGCGCGGCTTTTTTTCTAATTTTCTAATATAGGAGTATTGCTTCATACGTGCGCTGTGACAAAAAAATCAACTGTGTTTCTCCGAAAAAATAGGATTGATGTCATTAGTCCGGGATTTGCGTTCTCCATTGGTCCGATTTGAAAAAATTGCATCAATTGTCCAACTTTTTCACGAGTTGTTGCATATGAAGCAGTACTCTCTTATATCAGAAAATAGCTGAGCGTGACAGTTCCCCTCCAAGTACTTTTAGTCCATGACCTAGCAATAGAACATAGTTAGCTCATGGATCAAGATGACCAAACACAAGCTTTGACATCTTGGGCATGTGAAATGTAGTCTAGGGCAAACAACATTTTACCACTAAATGAAGCTACGTTGCTAGTGCACACGTACCCCTCTTAAGTCTGTCTTTAGGTCCTCCCAGTGCCCTGGTTGACCCAGTATTAGACAGCATGCCCACTGAACACAACGTCCTCATCCTTGGACTACATGCTCACCCGAGAACATTGAACATTGTTGCTTAACAATCCAGACACAACCCAGACCCCCTGCAGACATAGCTGGGTGAACCCAAGTGGTTTGGTTTTCATGAAATGTCAAAAATGCGTTTCAACATCAACTGGTACATCAACAACGGGGCTGAATGATGCCTGACTGCCGAACCACAGGAGTGTGGAACAGCTTAGACGATTTGAGTCTGGGATTTGCAGACTCCCATAGCGAATTTATTTTTCTGGGTCACTAACAAACAAACACATCGGGTTGTGATGTCGGGACTGTGGCAGCTTCTCAACAATGCGCTGCCCACTGGGATCCCTGCCCACAACACAATGTGTAGGGTGCCGACGCATCAGGATAGTGTAGTGGTTTAAAATAGGACTAAAGGAACTACCAAGTACTCATCACTAGACTGTAGCTGGTTAGCTGGTAAACCAACGACTCCCGCTTTCTGCTGCCACATTGTGATTTCAGTGCTGACAGAATTAAAACCGAATCAGTCATGCTCGGTTTGATAAAAAGACTGTCCGACAGAGTGAGCGGCATTTTTTTTTACCGACCGGTGCTGGGGGGAGGGGGCAGCTATGAGCTACCATTGACTGTGAAGGCTACTGAGCTGGCAGGAGCCGGTACGACGGCCATGGTTTCTGAGTAGTGAAGTTATGATTTGCAAAATCTGGTAAATAAACTTTACGAATTCATTTTAAAACACATTGCTGTGTATATTATGCAGTTTGTCACATATATGGCAACATTAAGTTTCTAAAATGCATTACAGCCGCATAAAAGGTGACTGTATTGTTTACCTTACGGGTAAATTCATTTCTTCCGGCAATACATCCGGGACCAGTCAGCGAACGCAAGAGGCAAGACTACCCAGCTTGATAGGCATCCTTGAGCAAGAGGCCTCATCACTGCTCCTAAATGACATATCTGTATTCACTCTAAGTTGCTTCGGATAAAAGCATCTGTGAAAATGGCTAAATAGTTAATAGAGAATGTTACATGGACCTGTACCTTACCTTGTTCACATTCATTTTTGGGGATATGTTTGTGAGTTACAAAACAAATGAAATGGAAGCTTTTTTCCAGATATTATTTTCAAGTTCATGAGACAAGCATGTCATTTAATAATCAAGTTAATAGGCACACATTGTACATACCCTCTTTCTCCTTCTCTTTCTCCACTTCTTTTAAACTGTCCTCTTTCCTCTGCTTTATGGCCAGGAGATCCTTCTTCAACTGCCGTGACTCCTTCCGCAGTTCATCGCTGAGGATGCAACAAGAGGATAGTCTAGTGGTTAGGGTGTTAAAGGTCGAACCCAAAGGTTTTGGGTTCGAATCCCAGTGTCTACAGTCTACCTTCAGGCATTCCTGAACAAGATGCCCTAATTCCTTACCTTCTCCTAAATGGCATGTTTCTAAATAAATTCAGTGCATTTCGCTATGGATAAAAGCGTCTGCTAAATGACTACATTGTAAATAATTACCATTAAAAAACTCACTTAATTTTTAGCATCATAATCGAGTTCACTCAGTATAGACAAGAAGCTAATCCACTAAATCGGGGCACTAACAAGAGGCTAGCTGACAGTTAAAACTAGTTAAATACTTACACAGATCTCAAGTCATGGATATATTTAGTCTTGTACTGAATAAATACATATTTTGGCTGCACTTGCTGTTCGTGGCAAGAGAACATTCATTTTCCACAACTTTCCACATTAGTAATCTATAGTAAATATGCTTGACAAACAAATAATTATCCTGATATACTCCAGGCTTTTTAAAACATTTTGTCTGTGGGTAATGTGTCTAGGTGTACGTGATTGCACAAATGCTGTATACAAACTTTGTATACAGCACTTAAGAGTGAATGATAGACATTAAAAGCTGGCCCTTTCTGTAATAAATTACATGGCACATATGCCATGAGAGTTCAACAGAGTTCCCCAAGGCATCAGAGAAGGTAAGATGTGGTCTAGATGATTCAGCAAAGGCCTATGAAGTGCCTGCAGGAACCAGAGTGTTGAAAGATTATTAAAGCCTAATGTGACAGTGATTAAGTTCATGAGTAATAGGACTAGAACGTTGTTACCATTTGCAGTCAGTTTAAGTTGTTAGTTTTCATAATCATCATCTTCATGATATATTAAAACAAATATAACAAATTAATTTAATTTGGGGCAAACTAGGATAGTCTAGTGGCAAGGATGTTTGACTCCCAGTCGAAAGGTGCCGGGTTCAAACCCAAATATCCGGAGTCTGTAATGACATGTATCTAAAACATTTAAAAAAAAGCATCTGCTAAATCATGACTAAGACATTCATAGCAATTATTTCATTTATGTGCTCTTACTGCAATCTTAAAATTGTTTGAGAAATCTACAAAACAACCAACTGCCATTGTCAAACTCCTGTGATCAGAACTTCCCGCAGACGCCTGAGGTCTTTTCCGAGATGTGTGACGAAAAATCAAGCAGTAGGGATGGCGTCCGCCACTCTTTTACACGTCAGATCAGAAACCCCCACTGCCAGTGCCAGAGCAGATATGTTATGTTAGAGAAGGATAATATTTTTGTACTGCCTGACAAGTTCTGTTTGGGTCGGTTTCTCCCGCTGTAGAGCTATAAAACACAGGTAAGCTGCGGTCCGGGCTCCTGGCCCAGAAAACGGCTAGATATCTCCAGACCAAACAATGGCAGCCTTTGTTTTGTTTTCCCTTTTTTCCCGCTGTCTCTCTCTCTCTCGCTCCATCTGCTTCTCAGAACAGACGTTCTTATTATCCTGTCCTGTCTTTTTATTTGCCACTTTCACTCCTCCTTTGTTTGCAGCTTCCTAACTCTCGTCTTACCTTTAAACGGTTTTCAGACGTTTGCCAAGAACACCAACTGCGGGAGTTAAAGCAAATATTGCCCTTTATCTATTTTTTAATGTTGGCTTCATCGTTGTCATGGTGTTTTAGCTGAAGGATCAGTCAGACATGCAGCTGCTCAGCTTTTTTGTTTTTAATAACTGGTAGAACTGTAATTGCCAACTATTGATAGAGATTTACGTGCACAAAATGGGCAGGCAGAAAAAAAAATATTTGCAGTGGTGGTGCTTAAAAAAGTGCTTACTCCGGACTCTTGGTGCCAGGGCACCTGAGTGTATAGACAACACTCACCTTTCTTTTTAATCAGCATCTATGCACTCAAAATTTATAGGTTTAATAGGCATAACTATTAATTCAATGTTAAACATTAGAAGGTAACAAAGGTAATAGAGTTCGAAAGTTTTTTAATGGTGCATCCACAGGTATGATGCCATCTAGAAAGTGTCTTAATTTTGCATGCTGAGAAAGTTTCACAATCCATACGTTATTTACACATCTTTCAAAGACACTGTTTCGATGACACAATCGATGACGTTCAATCTCAACAAACAAAGGTGCGGAGTAAGTGGTGCGGTGGACTTGGCGCAGATAAAAAGAACACTGCCTATATATAGAAAAAGAAAAAAAAGAGAGAGAGAGACCTTTTGTGAGAGCGATCTCTCTCCTTGGCCTGTCTTGACACGCTGCCAATCCGAAAAACAAGAGACATATCCACAGCAACAGGCAAACAATCAGCTCCACAGTCCCTGGTTGCCAATAAAGAGAGAGGCCAGAGAGGACAGGGGGAAAAGGACCCAACAACACCTGTTATTGCACACCTTCGGGCTGAGCAAATTCCTCCCAGAGCCTTCAACTTGGAACACCAGACATTTTGGTTTGAGCATACCTGGAATCACCTGTGTTCCTTGTGCCGACGAGAGGCGCATACTTCAGAAGATGACAACGGAGACAGTGGACTTGTTTTGATTTAAGTTTTTGTTTGCATGCCCTTATGCAGCCGTTTGCATATTCAAACGCATACATTCACAATGGATCTCACTTCAGATAATTCATTTTCAACGATTGCCATCATCAACATGATGATGACGATGATGATGACTGTGTAAAACCACTTCAATTCATTAATTCATAGGTTTTATTGGCTCTTAAAAACAAAGCATGGCTCCTGTGCCATATAAAATAAAAACATGAGATCAGGCTTCAAATATGTTGGAGTAAAAACCATATGGTATTTTTTCAAAAGGAGTTCAGAAAATTAGGCCATACAAAAAAGTTTTTGGGCAATACGCTGGCAAGGGGTGCGCTTCAAAAAAGAACTATTTTGTAGCTGCGAACAATGCCATGTGTTGCCAACACCATCTTAAAACCAGAGCTGCTATCTGAAGCCTTTGAAGGAGAGCAAATGAAAGAGAGAGGATGTTGGAGACGTTCGAGAGAGCTTCACTTTCTCTCCCTTCTCTTTACCGAGAGAAGGGGGGGGGGGGGGGGGGGCAGGGGGCATCCCTCGACCCCGTCGTCCAATCCCCTCTTTGCCTCCTTTTCACAAGCACAATGACAGCCATTCAGTACGACGCTGTCCACCTGCCAACCACAGAAGAGACTGTGGCTGCCATCTTTAAAAGAACGGTAGGCAGGGAAGACGAATCAATGAAAGTTGGTTGGTGTCGTGGAGTTGCCAGACAAACAGTCCCAATACAAGCACAGATATATACATGGAGAACCCTTGGTTTTAAAAAGAAAGGAAAGAATGAAACCTCCTTTGGGACACTAAGGACTGTCAGTTATTGGCACCAAAGCTTGGCCAGGCTCCGACAGCAATACAAAGCAATGACCTAGGTCAGTATAATCTAGGGGAGATGCTCTTTTTTCAGGCTCATCTGCTGCAGTCATTATCCAGCAGTAATTATGTGACCATGATTTTATGGTGAAACATGTACCTCGCCATGAGGAGTCGTATACCACACACTTGACCTCAATGGATGCCAATCGGTCTGCCACAAGGACACCGATCGCAGCCACCCAGGCCTTTGCCTGGGTGCACATCCACCGCATTCATAAAGGGAGCAAGTGATCCGGATACATGTGATCCTCCTAATTCATGTGCTAGCTAGGGTAACAGTGCTGGCAGGCTGACCTTCCCCTTGGGGAAACTCTTCATGGCTTGAGCGTTAGTCAAGACGAGCTGTGAGCTGGAATCAGAGGAATCTGACCTCCACACAGGAATCTGCATGACTGTGCAGAGAGACTTGGACAGACCCACGCACATATCACCCACACAGTGGACTGAAAGCAGCTTCTTGTTGTCTTGCTTTACCAATGCATTCTGGTAACTAGTGCTCAAGCAATTAGTCAATTAATGTATACGTCAATTAAGAGGAAATTAATTTATTCAAAATTGTATAATCCATTCAACGTTTGTCATTCATCAAGAAAAAGGCAAAACATTTACCGCTTATAGCATCAGGTATGCAATTATTTTGGCATCTTTCAACGTTGTAAAGCACTATTAAAAATTCAATTGACAGATAGCGATTATTGTTAGTCAATAATAGTTGTAGCCCTGAGCTAACAACTCGGACAGAAAACTAAAATTGACAATTAAGGAGCAGGTAGGGGTTTAGGCATCTTTTGCAAGGATGTCTCCAGGTTAGGCAGCAGACGTTGGGGCTCAAACCCAATACCTTTCGGCTGGGAGTCTGACAGCTCTAGCCAATACACCGTCTTGCTTGGATGGTGTATTCTATCATTTATATAGGAACTATAGGGGCAGAATAGTGTAGTATATGTAGTGTATTTTCGGCTCCCTTTATTCCCCGTAACGGTATTCGCTGTAAGACGCTTTGGATGAAAGTGTCTTGGGCAGTAAATCACCCGATCATCATCCACTGAAGCCTAAACTACAAGGCCAAAAAGGTAAAGAAATATGACTGTGTCAGACCTGATGTCTCAGTGATTTCTCCTCAGGTGCTTCATTTTTTTCTCCCGGCTCTTCATGGAGTTTAGACACACATCGTTGGCCTGGACCCGTTTCCAGTGGACCAGTCACCCAGATGTTCAGCCAGGACGAGGAGATCTACATATAAACCCCCAAAACACACACCGCTCGCTTGCCAAAGAACCGGATTATCTCTAGCGGGTTTCTGTACACACACAAAAAAAACGGAAAGCTTTCTTGATCTCCGTAACCTTGCCCTGAGAAAGTGTTGGTTTATGAGTGATGACAAGAGACAGGTGTATCCAATTACTACACGGTGACCCAGAGGGTCCCGGGCAAGGGAGACGGGACCCTTCAGGTTGGGGTAATTGGGGTCCGGGTGTGTGAGGGTACCGTTGTCCTCAACAGAGGCTTCTCCAAAATGTCATGGTTTCATTTTACTACTATGAGGATTTTAATCATACAAAAAAGTTTAAAATGTGTTTCCACTTCCACTGCATTAAAAAAAAGCTGTGTTGAAAAATAATAACAACAAGCCGATACAGATAGGATTCAGGATGAGGTATAATCAAGACGTTTTAATGTTTGATGAAATCCATTCTTATCAACAATAAAATTCAAATTTTACTAGATTGAAACTGCTTTAATGTCTGGAGAAACAACAAATGTTTGGGAGGCAAATGTGATGCAAGATATGCCATGTAAATGTAAAGACAACCGAGTATGCTCTTCGATCTGCTGCACTGCAGTGAGGAGGATCCAACCCTAACGTCAGTAGAACAGAGTCAGTGATATAGTTGTGTTACTTGTGGGTTAGACGTAAAATAACATAATCCTAAATTATGCTAATAATAACAAGGCTAAGAGTGCAGTCATTCCATAGTGTGAGATATAAAGCTGCAGATCAGAGAAGTGAGTCAGGATCTACTGGCAGGAGTGGATAAAACACTGTGCGTCAGCATATGGAAACACTTCGCTTTTCCATGCCCTGTCGGTTTTCAAGCAGAAGAAGTGGTGACTAGACTACCACATACACCGCTCTGGGACCACCAGTCAGAACAGTGTCTTTAATAACCCCCCCCCCCCCCCCCCCAAGGAGAACCTGAGTTGGCCCACTTCAAATAGGAACTACAGACTTGGGCAATAGTCAAAACAGTAAAGTCAGAAACAGTTGGATTCTGATGGGTTTTTTTCTCTCCACCTATTGCTTCAGGTAAGAGAGTTGAAAAAAGCTACCATGCTGTTTTTCAATGGAATATAGCAGAAAACATTGATGCACAGGAAACAAAAATCATGTACTCCCCACTCATCTTCATGTAATAAAAAAGAAATGTGAAAAATGTTTGGAAATCACTACACAATAACACAAATCAAAGACTTAAATATGTACAATATGATTTCTAACGAGTCAACGGAAACACTAAAGGGAGTCCAAACTTCATCAAATAACGACACACACA